ATTCGTAGAACTCGTCCATGTAGAAGTTGTTATAGACAAGGTCTTTCACGTGAGGGCAAGTTGATTCATTGTCGTCGACACAGGTTTGCAATGCAAATTGGCACAAATGGGCGAGCACTTACTTTGCACCAAAGACAAAATGGGCGTATTCATAAAACTCTTGTTTGGTGATTCCTCAGTAAAATCTGAGAAAAATTCTTGCGGTTGTTTTTGTGGAATCCCAATGCAACTTTGCCAATCAATTGCACTTCAGCATCCCAGCTGTTCAAAAAGATGCTAACAAGACTTGAAAGTGACCCCAACAAACTGGAATTGTATCAAAACACAATTTCCTGTGACCTCGATAAACGACCTCGACAATTTCTGGTGACTTCGATACAAAACTCTACAATAAAATTCATTCGACAGGACGAGTTCTACCCGAACACCGTGTCATCAACCCCAACAAGCCCAGAAAACTCGCCGTGTCCCCAACGCAAAATCCAGATACAAAAATGTTTAACTCAATGACCTTCTTCGAGTGGACCCGACCTACTCAGTAACCTTCTTGCCGTAAGTTGCTGATTTCGTGAGCGCAAAAATCCATTCAACGCCGACATAGAGGGGTTGTATATTCAAGTATTTATTCAACAAGAAGACCGAATTTTTCTCAGATTTCTCTGAGGAACCACCAAACAAAAGTTTTATGAATACGCCCGTTTTGTCTTTGGTGCAAAGTAAGCGCTCGCCCATTTGTGCCAATTCGCATTGCAAACTTGTGTTGACGACAATGATTGACTTTTCCTCATGTGAAAAACCTTGTCTACAACAACTTCTACATGGACGAGTTCTACGAATCAACCGACAGCATCAGTGAAGCTCAACGACTCTTCAGCGACCTGCGACAGCTTCAAACTCGTAGCTTCAATCTTACAAATAGGATTACAAAGCTTCAATCTTACAAATAGGATTACAAAAAAAAAAAGAGAACAAAAACATCGGAAAAACGTTGAAAGAAAATTTTCGAAAAAAAAAGTTCTGACTGATATTGGGTTGTTTTTTGATGATGTTAAAAAAGTGAGCTTCAAACAAGAGCTGTATAAAGCTTTACAAGTTTTCCGGAGGTAAAAAATTAGTTTTCGGTAATTGAATTAAAGAAATCAATTTAAAGAAATGATTCTTAGGCTAATTTCTATCGGGTAAATGGAGCAAAGAGGTTCTATATGGACCTACTCTTTAGAAAACAGACTCGATCTGAACTTTTCCAGCTCGGTTTTTTTTAAAATGAACAATTCTCAAAACTTCCAATTGTTTCGAATGATGTCCGCGAGGGCTTTGGAAAATATGTTAACCAAACCACATCGATGATTATTGGTGATACAAGAATTTTTAAAAAACTACACCCATTGACATTTTTTCTTCAGCTTTGCCATTTGGTTTTTATGACTACAGAATAAGTAATAAATCATTGCTCATTTTTCTGGAGCAGATTTAATTTTAGCCAAATATTTTTATATTACGAAACCAAACTATGTACTTTGTTTTTTCGACCAGGTGAAATAATTGCTCAGAGCTTTTATTTCATAAAAAAATTGAAAATTTATTAATTGTACAGTTTCCACATATGAAAATTGTATAATTAGTATTTTTTCATACTGTTTTTTCCTGCTTTTTATGGAAAGACACAAATTTCGATACCAAAACTAGAAAAAAAAATAACTTTAGAGTTTGATCAAACTCAATTTGCAAAACAGTATGAAGTTTGTATGACTAGCATTTTTCCATAGGTTAAACGTATGAAATTGTATGGTTAGTATTTTTGGTCTATGGAGGTCAATTGGGGTTTGTTAGGCGTTCAAACTTAAATCCTAGAGTTCAACTAGAGATCTTCAACCATGGGCGCTATTTTTTCAAAAGTCTGAAAAATTTTATAACCTGAAAATAAAAAAGAAAATATTCTTCCCTTGAGGTGCAATGGTTATTTTTTTTTGAAAAACTGTGGTAGAAACAACTTGTGAAATCAAATCACGCAAAATCGACTGATTGAAATTTTTTTGCAGGTCTGCAACGTATCATAGATTTTTCATTTTTTTTCATCCATTTATCATTCGTGTTTCAGAGCCATTTTAAATATAATCACAAATGTTTCATCATTGAAACAAAGATTTAAATTCCATTGATGTTCCATTGATGACTCATGACTGACACTTTGATGTCGATTCTATTATTTCTTCATGAAACAGGAAAGCAAATTAGATTGATGCTTCATTCAAAAATTCTAATTGAAGCAGAACCCACTCTATTTTTTCACCTTTGCTATTTAGTTTTTATGACTACAGAATAAGAAATAAATTATTGCTCATTTTTCTGGAGCAGATTTGATTTTAGCAAAAATTTTTTTCAATTACTAGTCCGAACTATGTACTTTGTTTTTTTTCGAGCAGTTGAATTAATTGCTCAGAGCTTTTATTTCATAAAAAAATTGAAAATTTACTAATCGACAATTTCCATATATGAAAAATGTAAAATTAGTATTTTTTCATACTGTTTTTTTTCCTTCTTTTTATGGAAAGACACCAATTTCGATACCAAAACAAGAAAAAAAAACTAACTTTAGAGTTTGATCAAACTCAACTTGCAAAATTGTATGAAATTTGTATGACTAGCATCTTTCCATAGGTTAAGTGTATGAAATTGTATGATTAGTATTTTCTGTCCCTGGAGGTCAATTGAGGTTTGTTAGGCGTTCAAACTTAAATCCTAGAGTTCAACTAGAGATCTTCATAGAGGCGAAGTGAGCGCTCACGTTGTATTTTTCCGTTTAGCCGTACCAATACTTTCAATAATAATGGAGATTTATTAGAACTAATATCTTCAGTTTACATGACTCAGAAATTGTAGTCTCATGCCAACTTTCTGCGATTTTGCTAGTTTTCGGACAAGATTAAAGCAATCGTTTTGCAGCAAAGTTTTCAAAAATGGTTTCAATCTTAATGAGTTATTTGTTCAAATTGATTTAAAAACTGAAACTAATCACGGTATGTGGGCACTCTAACGATTAATACAAAAAATTTGTCTGCTAAACTGGCAAAATACTTTTTTTCGTAATTATTTAGCTAAATTAGTCGTACAACTTACATGCAAGGACGCGTTAACTTGATAATTTAAATTCAACATGTGAATTTTTGTTTTTAAAGTTTGTAAAAAAAGTGAACTTACTTTAATAATGGCGTAAAATGCAAACCATCAAATCCTTGTAAGTAAGATGCTCAGCCTATGTTTCGTCTTTTTCGACCAAAAACTGATAGTTTTTGACCGTCTCCACCAAGTTTTGGTATGTCTCGATTTTCTCGATCGAATTTCGATATGTCTCGACTTTCTCGGCCAAATTTTTCGATCTGTTTCGGTTTTTTCGAATTTTTACACTTGTTTTGTTTTTTCGTCCCCGCATAGATATGTTTCGAGTTTCTCAACCCGAAATGGGTACGTTTCGACTGTTTCCACAATCTCGACACACAGAAAAGTTCCAATTTTTTTTATCATCAAAGATTTGTTTAAAGCGGCGTGACTAACTATGTGACGTATATCGATTATGTCAAATATCTAGATCACAAAAATTTGAGCTTTTTTGAGCTGAGACTGTTATAAAGTAAATTTTTGCCTGATTAAAGTAAAACTACCCGAGCTCAGTGATTGATTACCCACATCCAGTTTCAAGCGTTAATAATCGATTATGTTACGGTTTTAGTACCAGTCTTACTAAAATTGAGAAAAAACCGATTTTAATCAATTAATAATCGATCATAATCTCTCTTTTTAGAATCAAAAGGTAATTAATTATAATTAACTGTAATCGATTATAATCGATTATTTGTTCGTCTATTTTTGATACAATTATAATCAATTATAATTGATTATAATACCTTATTTTTTTTCAAATTTCTAATTCATTAGTTTTGCACAAAAATCTATTATAATCGATTATAATTGATTATAATCCCTTTTGTTTGTCAATTTTCTCTTCGAAGTTTCACCTAAATTGCTTATATTTTCTACTTTTCGTAGACGTTGGTTCCTATCAAAAATGAAAAAAATGTCTTTAAAGTTTTCTAATCAATTCAAGTTTTTAAGGTTTTTTTTCATTTCTTCCCCATAAGAGTTGTTTTGTGATAAATAATTCAAGCTTTTCAACCACCAAATCATCAGCAAATTGATTTAGTTTCATGATTGATTCGGAAGATATAATTTCTTCTACCGCGGGAACCTTTCCACTAATACGAAAGGATCTCTATGCAACTTTTGTTTCTTGGTAAAACTTAGTGTTCAGATGAACCAAAGTGTTCAAGAGATTTCTCTTATAGAGATTTTCTTTTTGACATAAAAATAATAACCCATAGGATATAATTCAAATATAGTTTTGAATTGACAAAATTTTGGCAAAATAAGAGATTGTAATCGATTATAATCGATTATAATTCATTTTAAGGGGTTTTTGTAAGAACTATAATCAATTATAATCGATTATAAGAAATTATAATCTCTGGGAAAATATCGCGATTATAATCAATTTTAAATCAGTCAAAAAATCATCATAATAATCCGTTATAATCGATTATTTACGCCTAAACTTACGGATAATCAGTGTATCAACATTCTCTCACAAAACTTCCTTCTAACGCTGAATTTTGTCATTCTTAATTTTTTAGTGTTTATGCGTCGCATAAAACTCTTTTTTTCTTTTTAAAGCGAATGGAAATATTTTATGTCACAAAAACCACAAAAAACTGCGATAATCACATCCTTATTATTTGGGATTTTTCGACTCGATTTAAGATATATTCATGTTTTCCGTCAAAAACTGAAAAGTGAATTGAAAAACATTGCAATGCACTGCCAATATTTATTTAGAAAAAAAATACAGAAAAGTAATTGATAAACTAACAGATTGGCATTTGCGTGTACTTGCGTGCATTTATTAGATTAATTGAGATTGATAACGCAAATGCTCACTGTACCACGGCTAACAAGTTTTTATAAACATACGTAACAATCTGAACCAAACTAGTCAAAATTAAAATGGCTCGTGGCTCGCTTATTTTATGTTCTAAGTATAAGTTCAGATTTTTTTTAGCTTTATTGATAATTACCGTGCTATTTTGGACAAATAACCAATTTAATCCTCAACCCATGCTCGTTCCACAGGATCCGATTTCTCAACAAATACCAGAGGATTTAGAATCGATTGACTTGAAAAGCAATTATTCTAAAATGGTCTACATTACTCGCATGATTAGTAACGATCTTCCGCCTATTCATTTCGCGGACCAAACTTACCTGAATACGAAGACAATTCTGGAAAACGAAGAGCTACCTTCAAACTTCAGGTTGCGTACGCTTAATTTAGCATTTTTGACGACATTTTTACGTCGACATTTGGCAGTTACGATTCAAATGCGTTCTCTAGCGATGCTTTATTAGCAACATGCATCATGCAAAAATCTTCCAAAAGTGATCAATACCTCTGAAAGGTTCATATAACAGTTAAATCCGAGTTTCGACGAAAAGATAGACAGTTAAGTTTTTTTTCAGACAAGTTCAATCTATGGCAACTGTTATTCACACATTTCGCCCCTCACACGTTTCGCCCCTCAAATTTTACATTAAAAAAGCGGCCGTTAATAAACCGTGTAAGAAGTTAGGGGCAAAACCTGCGAGGACGAAATGTGTAAAATCATTAGGGGCAAAATGTGTCAGGGGGCGAAATGTGCCACTAGATTTAAGAGGGGCGAATGTGTGTGGGGCGAAACGTGCGACTTTAATGGCGACTAATTTTTTTAACTAGCAACATTACGAGGTCAAAATGTGCCCTAGATATGAGCCTAATTTTGTGTCTGTATGTTCCTAGATTCCAGAGACGTCTTTAAATATGGGCGCAATTTTTTCTACAGTCCGAAAAATGTTATAACCTGAATTTTAAAAAGAAAATATTCTTCCCTTGAGGTGCAATTTTTTTTTGAAAAACTGTGGTAGTTTGAAGATTGCCAATCCGGTCAACGTGGGTTAATCAAATCACTCGAAGATTAACCATATAATCATTACTAAAACACTGTGCATTTTTTTCTGTATCAAGTTGCAAGCTTGCGATTTACAAATAGTTTACAGTTTATCTACAGATAATATAGTGATTAGATACAAGTTTATACACAGCTTATAACTATATAGCTTATGACTATATAAAAACTAAATACAGATTTTATTTTGATTTTTCAACACATTCGCCAAAACAGATATAATGAGTATAATGAAACAAAATTATAATGAGGGCTTTTCAATAAAAATTTTGTACTGCTGTTTGTTCAGATAAAAAATTTAAAAACTTTTTTGTGTAATTAAATTGCAGCCAAAACTAATTGCTCTATGTTATTTTCTCTTAATTTTTATGGGTGTGTTTTTTTAAAATTGCACTGAAAAGGTTCATCTTTTAAATGACATGTGAGAAAGTTTGAAAAAAAACTTGTTATGCCGCGGGAACCCTTGGATTGCAAAGCCTTCGAGGAATCTCTTGAAACTTGTAGTTTGCGGTAATCAATTTTCCTCCATTGAGTTCAACTCATTGTAACACTGAGGAAAAGTTTTTGTTAAATTTGTGATAAAAAAAATCATTTATTTAGATTTTGAATGGTCAAAAAGAAATAGTTACAACCCCCATAGTTTTTATGCATGTGATCATTTTTATTCAGATTTTAAACAGATTAAATACAGATTATATACAGATTACCTAAAGATTATATACGATTGTCTACAGGTTTTAATGTATACAGATTATACATTGACTAAATGCAGATTACCTACAGTTTGTATAAAGTTTTTATAGAATACAAAAATCAATTGTTTTGGCACTAAAATCCAATCATTTTTGGTGGAACAAAAATAGATTCTATCTGTAATTAATCGAATATTGTTGATAAAGATGTTGTAGATAAATCGAAGCTATACTTACGTAAATCTATATATTTTTCTAAGTAAGTTCAATGTTTATCCTTTTTTGTCACATCGGGTTGTCTCTGGATTCGAGAAATGTACACATATAAAATTTTTCCCCCATCCAAGGCATAATTTGACCTCGTAATGCACTCAAGTCATCAGTGCTCTGCATATCAAAAAAAAACATTTTTTTCCTGAGAAAATGGGATAAAAATTGATTTTATACAGAAAAATCTATATATATATATGTAAGTAGAGAATTGATTTATCTGCAACCTTTTTGCGAACGATAATCGACTTAACACAAATAGAATCTATTTTTTCTGCCAAAATTGAAGAGATTTTAGTACTGCCAAAATAATCTTTTTTTTTGTATTACTAAAACCTTAATATAATCTGGAAATAATCTGCATGTAGTCAGTGTATAATCGTTAGACTATGAAACCTGTATATAATCTGTAGATAATCTATAGATAATCTGTAGATAATCTGAATACAATCTGCATAAAATCTGCATAAAATCGGGTACATGTCTAAAAACTATATTTTGGTCGCCTGTGGTTTGCATTTTTTTCATCGTCATGCCTCAGCAACAAAGGAGCTTTGCTTTTGCGGGCGTGTGTGAGTCAGTTAAATTTTTGGGATAGAATGGTATACGGACGCGCAGTCCCTCCTCTGTTTCGAAGAAGTATAAAAAACTTTTGACTGTATATTAGTCACAATAAAATGAGGTCATTACACAAACACTTGGAAATAGTTACTTGTGATGATTTTACAAAAACAACTTTTATGCTACATAAGTTGCGCTTTCTATAATAATTTAGTTACTTTGAGATGCACAAAAACTTGAGTTGCACAAAAACTTGAGTTGTGTCGCTGTCTCTCACTTCTTACATTGTAAAAAACTTCTATTGTCGATTTTTGAAATCAAAGATTATGTTTGTTTGATTAGGCGATACTGGTTGCTCTACTGTTTTGCGAACAAAACCACCGAACAACGATTGGTTCGGCTGATTGAATCCAAAAAAGAGAAGTATCATATAGTTCCTCTCTCAAGCTCGAGCGAGGCGAGTGATGTGATCAAAGAAACTCTAAACAACGACAGAGCTCGTAACATTGGGCTGAAAAAAAGTCTCGAAGAGGGCGCCAAATGGACTCTAAACCTCGACGGGGCTCAAATTATGACCCAGGAAGGCATACATTCTTTGGACAAAGCATTGAAAAGAGCGGAGGGAAACTCTCAAATTTTTCACTTTGTTCCTCTCATCCGACTCTTGTTTAGAATCGAGTTTTCCGAGTCGCTAAATTATCGACAACTTTTCCCCTATGTGTCGGGTCTGGAGGAATGCACAGTTGCTGTGCATCAGAGATTTTTGTTTGAGCGACCAAAAATTTTGTTTCTTCACAAGCACAAAGGACTGCTTTATGACGAAGATCGAGAGTATGGTTACAAAGAAAAACTTCAGTTTTTACAAGAAGCTAAGGAGCATCTGTCAGCCAAACAAATAAGCTGCAGTGAAGCAATGATAGGCTTCACCAAGAAGAAAGCTAAAAGCGCAGATTTTGACCAGGACCTGTTGACTTTGTGCGGCTATTCTGTGAGGCTCCCCTATCATCCGGAGGAGGACGCCCCATACAACCAGACTACGGCAGTCGTGAAGAGATTTTATCCCAGACAGCAGTCGGTTGCAGCTTTCAAACAGCTGTTGACAAAAATAGCTGCATCGAATGCAGCACAACAAACTCAATAAAAAAGTTTCTTCAACAAAAGTCGTTTGAATTGCCATAAATGTCCTCATTTTAACTAACTCTTCTTCAATTATCATTTTATCTAATGCTATTTTTGACCGACTTTTTCTAAAAATCCGAACGGTGTAGTTTAGAGGAGGTTAAATTTAAAGTAGTCTGTCGGCGCATGATTTTCCTAAGAATAGTTTGTTATTGTTTTTGTGCTTTAGTAGCGCTCGAATAATCGAGTTTAGAATAACGTTGGCAAAAAATTTTAAATTGGAGAGAATTTTCGACCAAAGCTGCAAAAGTATACAAAGAGTAGAAAAGGTTTCACCTTCGAGTAGATAAGAGTTTTTTACAGGCGAAGAAAAAAGTGTTTCATATTTTGTCTATTCGACAATTATTTTACAGCGTTCTACTTTTTTGTGACCTTCAAAGATAAATTTACCGAAGACCGGGGTAGAAAAAATGCTTGACAAACAATATCAGAAAAAAAAATTTTTTCCTTTAAATTTCTGGGAAAAAGTGTCTGAAAATTACAATATAAGCATTTTCCATGCTATGGAACTTTATTATAAGCATTTTTTGATCACATTATAAGCATTTTTTGATCACATTATAAGCATTTTTTTCTAATTATTATTCAAATTTTGTCATACATTTTGTTGCAAAAATTGTATGAATTTAGCACGAGAAATGTTTTTAAACAAGGAAATTGTTTGATAAACATTTTTCATAAATCAAATTACTAAAAAATTTTCTGAGTTCAATTTCAATTTTTTTTATTTTTCACACACCACTGTAAACGAAAGAGCAATTTCATAGGTATGTGGCTAGAAAGTTTTTAGTGGTTCAACGGTTGAGCAAATTGGCCGTTTTTAATTACGTTTAGCTTACAATCAAAAAGCAAAAACGATTTTTTTCTACGCGAATTGTGTATTTTTAGAATGAAAAAAAAACAGATCATACAATGCTTATTTATGATAATTTATGTTTATTATTTATTCAAAAAAATATATAGCATAGTTACTGTCAGGTAAATAAAACTGCCAAAAGTTGTATCGTTTCAGTTTCGATAAAAAAGTGTTTCGATTGAAAAACACATGCAAAGTGTTTGAGGTTTGTTTGAAATTGGTAGGACCAGTTAGTCCGCCTAAAAGATTTTGGAATAAATTTAAGAGCCAAATGAGTTCTACCCTAAGCAACCTGCGTTTTTGGGTTTCGCGAGATAGTTATACTCATAGGCGGACAAAGCTAGAAAAAAAACTATTTTTTTAAATTGTACTCATTAAGGTCTTCTTATAAATTGAACTAATATTTTGATCATGTGCCATTCCTCCAGATGGCACAGCCGAACCTTCTGACGCTTGCTAAAATGACGTTAAAGGTGTTAATAAGGAATTGGAAGTAAAAAGGAGACTAAGATTGTTCCAGAATTTCGATTTGGACTGGAACATTTCCGAGAATTACCATAGACGACCATTTTTGACAAATACAGCGTGTCAAACACACAACAGCCGATTGCAGGACAAAAAACGGTCCAAAAAAATAAAAAGAGAAAAAAGAAATTTTTATTGTGACACGAAGACAGAAAAAGGTGTTTACTAGAAAATGACAGTGTGAACGGAATGTCCGGTGGGTTATTCGGGACAGCGTCGAATCCTCCTGTGCAACAGAAATTGGGAGATAACGACGTGATCTCCGGGAGAGGTCTGAATTGGAGGCCCGATGCCCAGAGACTGTTTTTGCAAACTTTGACTGTTTTTCAGCTGCTGGAACGCCCTGAACGCAATTAATTTAATGCTATTTTGATATAGTATTTCAGAGTAGTTAGAGTCTAGGAAAGGGTCAATTCATCTCTAATGAATCTAAAATATAACGCCCTTTGGCTGATGGCCTTAAAAGGGTAACATGGTGGTTAACCTTTAAAAAGACCAGAAAATCAACTGGCTAGGTTGAGACGTTCAAAAACGAGTAATGTTCAGGTAACTGACGTCAGCCAGTCGTCAAAAGGGGCTTATTCTCTGCTCTGTTACTGTGCAATTTCTGGGCGAATGTTACATAGACGTTTTATGGCGCTCCTGGGTGAGTCTGCTTGAGGCAATAGACCATCACGATCAGCAAATGTTTCAGCGAGGAACCCTCCGCTCCGGGAGTATGGCCGAATTAAATCACCTATTGTCCTGTATTGTACTAGTGGAGAAGTTGGGACCATTCGACTAATAAAACTTAGCTTTTTAATCTAGTTAGGACCAAAATTTCCGGGGTCTGAGGTTGAGGTGGGAAGTCATGAGCCCAATTACCCAAAAGCTCTTGGAACAAAAACAGTTAAAGAGAGAGCGTGAAGCCAAACAAAAACCGTGTATATCCAAGAGAAAGCCGAAACAAATTTACTTTGCAAGAAAAAAGTTTAAGAAACAACAAAAGACTAAAAACAGTAAAAAAAAAAACATATTATGACTGTTTATATATTTTTCCGGACAAAGTTTGATTCTAATTTTCTAATTTTTTGCTTTATCAGATTGATTTTTATCATTACTGAACGAAAAATCAGGAGTTTTGGTTGTTAGTTAGGTATGTGATTGTGATTGATGTGATTTGAGTATTTAAGCACCTAATGATAATTTTGCCGGTGACCGCAGGGTAGAGCAGCAAGCTGGCATACGTGCTCCAGACACAGCAGGGGACGGCAGGGACAACATCCACAACAGCTAATAGCTTTTGGGTTTTGTCAGCACAATTTTTGTATCGTACGGGTAGTCTTTCAATAACCTTAGGTGGCGGGGACGCAATCGGACCGGTCCGATTGTACCCTCCATCAATTGTGAGTTTCTGAGTTAAGGGTCCTAATTCGGGTAATTTGGTGTAAGGGAGGGTTTGGTAAAACTAAATAAAAAATACTAATAGAATACAACCCATGGTATATGTGCGCATTGAGCTACTACATAGTTACAGCGCCTATCGAAAGAAACCGCGCGGAGAAAAACCGCGAGGAGAAGTCGAGAAAACAAGTCTTTTTCGACACAATTTTTTGTGATTTTTCTGAGTTTCGTCAATATATTTTGAGAATTGAAACTTTTACTTTTGGTTGTAAAGCGAAAAAACTTTTGCAATAGGGGGTTGTTAGTATAACGAACTCATTTCCACAACTGTTTTGAAACAACCTCCGTATAGCTCCGTGGATATAGATAGAGGTTTGAATAAGGGAACGGAAGGAAATGAAGGGTCCAAATCCGACATGTTTCGGCCAAATCTTTGTTTGTAAACCAATTTGGGTCCGTTTTTTGCTTTGATCCAGTACTGTACAGGGCTACTGCGCTTGTTCCAAGTATTTAAGCGGTTTCAGCAAGAATTGCGAAAAAAAATCTTTCGAGAACCTATAAATGTAGTGAAAAAAGACCAATTTAGCAAACGCTTTTTTGTTAATTTCTCAAAGATAACCAAACCGATCGGATTCTTTTGGTACCATAATTCGACGTTTTTGTTTACTTTTTTGAACCACAACCGTTTTTAGATTTGGTCAGTATGGAGGGTCCAAATTTAAATTCCCTCGAAGCGGAAGAAAATTTTTATAGAATACCAAAAATCCAATTTTTTTTTGCAAGTTATGATGACTGGCTTTCTGCAAGGTAGGCTGTTTTAGACAAATTATACCGCAATGGAAGGCTTTTTTTGCGGCGAAAACACTTGACTTTGTTATTCTTTGTGAACCCTCCAGAGTCAGTCAAGCCCTTAATAAGCCTCCTTAGTGAGAAACTTTTGCGGAACCCTCCGAAGTAGTTTGAGTAGCCCTCCGGATTAAATATAGCCTGTTACGGATCAATTTTACACCAGCACCACTTTGAGACAGGAAGTTGAAAATGAAAATTCGAAAATTTTAGGAAACCCTACAAAGGAATCGTCCGGAATGTTTTCAACCCTTTAAAAACCATCGTTAGTGGATTTTGGAGAACCACTCGAAGTAATTTAAACGCTTTAGATACCCTCCTAAGTACTTTAAGCGTCTTTAGTACTCTCCGAAGTAACTCTCCGACATAATTTAAGCCTCTTTAAAGGTCTCTTTAACGAAACCCAAAGGGGTCCTCCGAGATAACCCATTTGCATCAAATATACCCTTAGATTTATAATAGAGGGTCGACTGCCTTCGGGGTGTGTATATTAGAAATAAAAAGACCAGTTGGCCCGGAGATTTGCTGCGCTCAACTTGGGATTCTAGACCGGCTTCAACAAAAGTACCCGAATAATTTTTTTTGGTTATTTTGGTTGTGTGGTTGCCTTGAGCTACTTAAAAGGAAAGCTCGGGCAATCCGGTAACACATAGATGAAGACCTTGCTGAGTGTATTAGGTTCAAAACACTCACCCGAGAAAAGAAAATTGCTCTCTACTGTAGTGCACTTGGAACTGTCCGAGTAGGGGAGAGCTTAGGGTTAGGGCTCCCGGGCTTCGTTCAATTGGAGTTTTCCAACTGAGGGACGTCTTTTACTTTACGATTAGGTCTTTCTTTATCCTTATTGAAGTCAACACTGCTATTTTACAAAAAAGTGCAGGATTTTAAACGTGGCAGTGATTTCATAGATCTACAGCAGTAGTTTGATATTGATACTAGAAATCGCTGTCACCTATAGGGTGTGTTATTGTAATATTGTTGATCGTATTATATATGTGTCGGCTATTTTTGCCTCACAAATTTTTTGGATGTTTTTTAAACTAAGAACTTGAGCGGAATTGAATTGATCTCAACACCATGCAGATCCAGAGATTAGTGTTAGCTGAATTGTTTATTGGGAGTCCTAAAGACTAATATTTTTTTGTTGAAAAAACCGAGTTTTGATACGCATAAGTTTTCTTTGAGACTTCTGCAGTGTCGTCAAAATCTTTTCCGTTGCGTCACTTAACATAGATTATGGAACGGAAAAATTTGTTAGGAGAAACAACTAAGATTCCTAGGTTTAACAAGGGAAGTAAACAGAAGCATAAGTCGAGACGTAGCCAACCCTCTGTGGGAAGTTTTTTTTGTGAGGTAACGAGTGAAGGTCGCCGTGATCTTTTTGTGAGCGGAATGAAACT